TGATTTTCTTCAACAGTACTTCAAGATACCTGTAGTATTAAGTCTATTTAATAGATATCATATAGCAAATATGATTTTTGAAAGTTTTTATTCAAATAGTCTGATGATGACATAAATGCAAATTAAACCCAACAATCATTCCATGTAGATGCATTTATTTATGTTATTTGTTTTTGCATATAGCAGATTATACTTTTTTATGTTACAGTCAGTGTTTATAAACAGGCATATGTATATTGACTGAATCACTCGGGCCATGTATATATTGTGTTATATTTTCAGTCAGCACACATATTACTGAAATGACTCCTTAATTTAACCTCATTTTAATTTGGATCTATTTTGATCTTACGAAGATCTAAGTCATTTATGTACGTAATTAAATATGTTCCCACACATCTTCACGAGGCAAGAGAGTTAACTTACTTTAAAGGTCCAGTTTCCACCCTTGCCGAAATTGGCTTGAATTACTGGTCTCGATCGTAGCGCCACCAGTGGCTATTACCAGTTATGTCCCTTCTAGCCCTCTCCTATGGACCAATCAGATGCCACCTCTCGTATCACTTGCGTTTGCTTCACACAAAATGGTGGCGTCCGGTCAGGAGGATCTGACTGATAATCAAGATCTAAATTGTGATAAAACGGGTCTTACATCGCGAAATGCATCAAATCGCATGAGCACCTTGATTAAAAACATGAACAAATTTGGAAAATATCTGCTGACATATCTGCTGATATCGATGCACATGCTTTGCAAATCCTGCACTCGACCGAAATCTACAACTCCTCGTGACAGTTTACGAACCGGATTTCGATTTCGGTGTGAGATTTTGAAGGTCCCTTTGGGAGACAACCTGGAGATCAGCGTCAACCAGGGTCCCTATTGGAGACAACCTGGAGGTCTATGTCAACCAGGGTCCCTATGGGAGACAACCTGGAGGTCTGTGTCAACCAGGGTCCCTATGGGAGTCAACCTGGAGATCTGTGTCAACCAGGGTCTCTATGGGAGACAACCTGGAGATCAGTGTCAACCAGGGTCTCTATTAGAGACAACCTGGAGGTCTGTGTCAACCAGGGTCCCTATGGGAGTCAACCTGGAGATCTGTGTCAACCAGGGTCTCTATGGGAGACAACCTGGAGATCTGTGTCAACCAGGGTCTCTATTAGAGACAACCTGGAGGTCTGTGTCAACCAGGGTCCCTATGGGAGACAACCTGGAGGTCTGTGTCAACCAGGGTCCCTATGGGAGTCAACCTGGAGATCTGTGTCAACCAGGGTCCCTATGGGAGACAACCTGGAGGTCTGTGTCAACCAGGGTCTCTATGGGAGACAACCTGGAGATCTGTGTCAACCAGGGTCCCTATGGGAGACAACCTGGAGGTCTGTGTCAACCAGGGTCCCTATGGGAGTCAGTCTGAGTTTCAGCAAGAGTCCCACGGTACACCAAGTGTAGCAGATTATAGATGACGGACACGTTATGATAAAGGGATAACTGATCCCCAACACAATAGCCGCCATTCAGGAGCTTCCCCTGTGGAATCACAGCCGAGGTGCGGGAGTGTAACAGGCGGGCGAAACTAGCGAGGGGAGGGGCAGGGATGAGGGTGGGAGGGGGACATGGTTGGCGACGCCGGTCTTATCTCCCCCATCTCGCCCCGCCCCCAAGGATTTAGTCAGTGCTGAGTAAAGGGGGAAACAATAGACCAGTAAACAGGGGTAATTTGGATCCTCTCGGTGACTCTTTAGGCCCACAAAGAAAGATACAGCCGTGAGATTGGGACATTGAATTTGAATTTATTTAGCAGGAACAATTACACGTTTGCTCAACTGTCACCGTATCGTAGCTGGTGTTGGTGTGTGTGACTGGAACAGGCGACCCACGACAGTCTCAAAGCCTCCCCTGCCCATTACCAACAGATTACTCGCATGACGAGACTCGCGGATGTGCGACACTATAGGCCGTATTACCAGCTCATCTTAAACACTGCTATTTGACATACAGATCGGTTAGAAGACGTAGTGTGTGGATTTATCGCACCAGATAGGTAGATTGTATCCCGCTAAACACCGCCCGGTTAGGAAGGGTCTCAATGATCGGGGCTACACGAGGAGCCTAACTTCAAACAGACCTTACGAGATAGATAATCGTCAAGTCTAGACTAATATATAGGTTTCTGCCCTGCCTGTGATCCGTGTAACGACTGCAGAAAGAGGCACATTGACCCCTGGTGCTGTCGGCGACTTCCCTTACCGCCTCGTTGTCTGTCGGCGGCGAAACACCCCGGGATTGACTTGCTCTCACCTCTTGTCTTTGTTGGGGAATTCACACTGCAGTCTTGTCAGATCGCCCACAGCAGGCTAACAGTATCGGTATACAACACTTGTAGGTCTTTTGGCAACCAGTCGCAAGACCCGACTAAGTGTTCAGGTGTAAGTCACATGTATGTTGGCAACCGGAGTCGCCCGCAGCAGCATAACGGTGGTTGTGCAACACGTGATGGCAACTGACGTTAAAATCATGGACGCATCATAAGTCAACAAAACTTGCATATATGTTGTGATGCCGTGTTTCAGGTATACGGGGTGTGTGTTGTGATGCCGTGTTTCAGGTATACGTGGCGTGTTGTGATGCCGTGTTTCAGGTATACGGGGTGTTCGTTGTGATGCCGTGTTTCAGGTATACGAGGTGTGTGTTGTGATGCCGTGTTTCAGGTATACGGGGTGTATGTTGTGATGCCGTGTTTCAGGTATACGAGGTGTGTGTTGTGATGCCGTGTTTCAGGTATACGAGGTGTGTGTTGTGATGCCGTGTTTCAGGTATACGAGGTGTGTGTTGTGATGCCGTGTTTCAGGTATACGAGGTGTGTGTTGTGATAACGTGTTTCAGGTATACGAGGTGTGAGTTGTGATGAACTGTTTCAGGTATACGAGGTGTATGTTGTGATAACGTGTTTCAGGTATATGAGGCGTGTCGTCATGACGTGTTTCAGGTATACGTGGCGTGTTGTGATGACGTGTTTCAGGTATACGAGGTGTGTGTTGTGATGCCGTGTTTCAGGTATACGAGGTGTGTGTTGTGATAACGTGTTTCAGGTATACGAGGTGTGAGTTGTGATGAACTGTTTCAGGTATACGAGGTGTATGTTGTGATAACGTGTTTCAGGTATATGAGGCGTGTTGTGATGACGTGTTTCAGGTATACGTGGCGTGTTGTGATGACGTGTTTCAGGTATACGAGGTGTGTTGTGATACCGTGTTTCAGGTATACGAGATGTGTGTTGTGATGTCGTGTTTTTAGGTATACGAGGTGTGTTGTCATGACGTGTTTCAGGTATACGTGGCGTGTTGTGATAACGTGTTTCAGGTATACGAGGCGTGTTGTGATGACGTGTTTCAGGTATAGGAGGTGTGTGTTGTGATGTCGTGTTTCAGGTATACGAGGTGTGTGTTGTGATGACGTGTTTCAGGTATACGAGGGGCGGTCGGGTAGCCTAGTGGTTAAAACGTTCGCTCGTCACGCCGAAGACCCGAGTTCGATTCCCGACATGGGTACAATGTGTGAAGCCCATTTCCGGTGTCCCCCGCCGTGATATTGCTGGAATATTGCTAAAAGCGGCGTATAACCATACTCACTCACTCACTCAGGTATACGAGGTGTGTGTTTTGATGTCGTGTTTCAGGTATACGAGGTGTGTGTTGCGATAACGTGTTTCAGGTATACGTGGCGTGTTGTGATGACGTGTTTCAGGTATACGTGGCGTGTTGTCATGACGTGTTTCAGGTATACGAGGCGTGTTGTGATGACGTTTTTCAGGTATATGAGGCGTGTTGTGATGACGTGATTAAAGGTATACGAGGTGTGTGTTGTGATAACATGCTTCAGGTATACGAGGTGTGTGTTGTGATGTCCTGTTTCAGGTAAACGAGGCGTGTTGTGATGACGTGTTTCAGGTATACGGTGTGTGTGTTGTGATGCCGTTCACAGGTATACGAGGTGTGTGTTGCGATAACGTGTTTCAGGTATATGAGGCGTGTTGCGATAACGTGTTTCAGGTAGACGGTGTATGTGTTGTGATGCTGTGTTTCAGGTATACGGTGTGTGTGTTGTGATGCCGTTCACAGGTATACGTGGTGTGTGTTGTGACTTCGCGTAGGCCGCCACGGATGCTGCTGTAAGAGAGAATGTTCCTGAGACAAAGGCCCCATGTTCCCCTCTAGTGCCATCCGTCTCCCACTTCCATCCCGATGACACACGCTGACAAAATCGACTTTGAATCACGTCTGTTCCTTTCTTCCTTATTCCGATATAATCAAAATATGACATCGATAGCTTCCTCCTGTACGTGTAAATCCAGTCTATTTATCACCACGAACGACATGGTGGGACATCTCCCTTCAATGTCGACCCCGGCGTAGCCCCACCCCTCCGTATTGTACACTACTTCCCTGACAACTTCTCGCTTGCTCTTCTACACCTCGTAGCGCTCAGTTGGCTCAATGAGGTTTCTCAGGCATTCACTGAAGACTAGTCGTGTGGCAAATGTTACATAATACATAATTTGAAATTAATTTATAGTAAAGTGTTTAACTAATGCAAACAGTTGAACTGACATTGTCAACACTCAAAGGCCAGAGGAAGCACACAGGGGTATCGACCCTTAAAATATACTCTTGTTCATTTATTGAATGACATCAAAACGCTTTTAAACAACTACCACGTTGGAAGGAAGGGGTGCTTCACACAGAACATGTTGTAGTGTTCCCTGAAACTGCAGCTTTGTAAAGATGACATCGATTAGTAGCTAAATAATCAATAATCATTTCATCATGGCTAGTTCAGCGTCGCAATCAGTAATTGATATTCTGTCATTTAGTTTATTAATGACATCGTTTAAAAAGTCAAGTAGCACGTGCACCGGGTCACACCAGCTCCTTGTATAGACCCGACATTATCCCCCCAGCTCCCACCTCGCAAGTGGGAAATGGACAATCAATAAACGTTTCTTGGTTGGATTTTTTATTGCATGAAACATCAATGTAAAATAAAGAATATTAGAAACAGCATTAAATATGCTTTTGAGTAAAGATAATATAATGGTAACATGAGTCCACCCACGTGACGCCGCCCAACCTCCTGCAGGCGCGAGACATGGACAATCTGGACGTTCTAGTACTTTGTGACAGCACAATAAGTATTCATAGCACAGTCATTCAGGCAAGGGGACATCGGAGGAGCGCTCTCGTACTTTGTGACAGTACATAAAGTTTTCATAGCACAGTCATTCGGACAAGGGGACATCGGAACAACGCTCTCGTACTTTGTGAAAGCATATTAAGTGTTCACGAGTAGCACAGTCATTCGGACAAGGGGACATCGGAACAGCGCCCTCGTACTTTGTGACCGTATATTAAGTGTTCGTAGCATAGTCATACAAAAGACACCAAAGCAGCGTTTTAGAACTCTGTGACGGCACATACGAGGTGATGACGTGTTCGTTCGTAAAACGGTAACTCGAACAAACGGACTTCTGAACATAGTTCGCACACACAGAACATAAAGACAGCTCTGTTGCACTAAACAGAGTCCTTCCATGTTAACACCGAGCAGAGTCGTCCTTCATCGGGCATGTCGTCAGTCGCGTCTATCACAACCACCTCGACTGCAGATGGTTATATATTTGAACACAACACGCATCTTTTGTCTTTTCAAAGTTCAGCCGTGGATCCGTTCTGTCCAAGCGTCACTTCCGACACGGCCTGCGTGGACATGGTCAGCTGAGTGACCTCACCCCCGGGTGTCCGGGAACACGGTGGCCCCTGTCGGTGTAGGGAGCTGACTCACGTGTTGCTGGAGACCGTGGATGAACATCCGGGGAAGTGAGGGCCTCTGCGCCTGCGTGAAGGCCGAGTCTCCGTGGCGGAAGTAGAATGCGTCTATGTTGGAGAGGATGGACGCGGCCTGGGGGTGGTATGTGAACCAGTAGGGGTTGGTCTGGAGCATGCGCTGTACGGCGGCATAGTTGCCCGCTTCCGCCAGGAGTTCCAGGCCAACCGCCGTCTGTCTCTTCCACTTGGTCCTGCAAAAAGAGGGAGAAGGTGAGCTTCATATAACCTAGTGATTGTCCTAGAGGGTGTCCCTGATTAGTGATCGTCCTAGATGGTGTCCCTGATTAGTGATTGTCCTAGATGGTGTCCCTGATTAGTGATCGTCCTAGATGGTGTCCCTGATTAGTGATTGTCCTAGATAGTGTCCCTGATTAGTGATCGTCCTAGAGGGTGTCCCTGATTAGTGATTGTCCTAGATGGTGTCCCTGATTAGTGATCGTCCTAGATGGTGTCCCTGATTAGTGATTGTCCTAGAGTGTGTCCCTGATTAGTGATCGTCCTAGAGGGTGTCCCTGATTAGTGATTGTCCTTGAGGGTGTCCCTGATTAGTGATTGTCCTTGAGGGTGGTGTCCCTGATTAGCAAGTCCCCAAATAGTGATTGTCCTAGAGGATACCCCTGGTTAGTGATTGTCCTAGGGGTATCCCTAAATTAGTGATTGTCGTAGAGGGTACCTGATTAATGCTTGTCCTAGAAGATACTTGATTAGTGGTTAGTGTAGCGGGTATTTCTAATTAGTTACGTAGGTTCACTTCAACGCTTTCATGGAATCCCGAATAAGCATGACAGAAGTTTCTTCCAAGTAGTTGGAGCGCCGTATAACTAGAGCCTGCTTATAGACCGGTGTTCGGGTAGAAGTGCTTGTTGGCTGATGTGGGGTATATTAGATTCGACCCAGTCACATAATTAAATGCATCAATCGTGTCGGGATTAGCCAGTGTGAACACCCGCCCTTATCGGGTGTAATTGAATACCGGGAACAAAATGAATATATTAGATCTTTCCCTAGCGCCGTGACATGCGGGCAACTATAGTCACCTGCAGCATACAACAGCGGCACTGTCCTACAGGTGGTAATGAAATTGGTTTGGATATAAGCCTTCACGAATTCCCGGACCAAACAGACAGCAATGTATGTGTTATCACACAATGATATAGGGGAAAGGTGAGCGAACACCTGAAATAATAATAATAAAAATAATAATAATAATAACTTTTCAGCCTTGTCTGAAATACAATTTGGAATAGTTTCTCAAGGAATATATCTGACTTGTGTAGCTTGGCATCGATGTTTAATTGTTAAGGTTGGAACTACTTATTGATGAATCGGACAACAGACATGTGCAATGCAATCTTTTGTTAGATCTGTTGTCTCACCCTTACCGTATATTGACATATCGTGGCTGACGGTGTAAAAACGTTGTTCTGTCGTGTTCTAAACTGTTACTTTTTTCAGTCAGTATATATGAAACTAACACAAACAACCATTTATCTTATCCCCTTCGTCATGTGTTGCTTGTTCCTCACGCTACTCCTGCGCGCCACACACTCTACCCGTACCGGTACATCCGATACAGTTCGCGCCACACACCCAACTACCCCAACGTACGGTACGACTCTTTAATCCTATTCATAATATTGTTGTCAAAATTGACAGTGTTTATAGGATTCTAAACAGGGCCAGTGAATCGAGTAACGACGAAATTTGTTTGCGTTTTAGTCAAATAGCTGGAAGTCACCCCATCCCCATCGCAGCGATAGGGGCTTTGTCCGCCGCCTTGAGACCGCGGAGGGTTCTGCCTGACGGCGCATGATGTCGCCCCCCGCAGAGAAGAGGTTAGTTGTGAGTGAGAGTTTGACGCTAGTGACAACACTGTGAATGACGCTCTTTATTCCCGCAGCTAGTGTTAGTGCGAAATGAGTAACTCGCCTTTGACGGAGGCGTCAAGAGCAGCACGTCACAGCAGGTTGAAGAAACACGCGAGTTGAAATGGCCTTACTCGGCCCCGGATGTAGATGCAGAGGTCCTGGTGGGTAGCGTTATAACGAGGTACATTGGGCAGCTCAATATACACTGGGAGAACCGACCATAGCTCAGACTGTATTATTTCGTAAAGTAATGATCCTGTAGATCTCAGGTATACACTAATAATGTTCATAGATGATGTCACTTAATACCATGCTGGGGAAAGCCTTTAAAAAATATTTAAAAGTTTTAATTTTCTTTTACCTTTTAACTTTCTCTTTTGCAGTATCTGAGAATAAGGGACTGCCATTATACCCAGCACTTGGCACTAGGGCCACTACCGTTAGGGACCCGGTCATGTATCATTGCGGGGTGGGGTAGGTGGTGGCGGGGGGGAATCAGGGGAGGGTCACCAATATGGCGAGGTTTGTCAACTCTCTGGCGGGGGTCGTCCAAAAACATGACAAGCATTTGGGGAGGAATATAAGTGCACCAAACCCCGCTCTCGCCCTCATTGAGAATGAGATTACTGAGCTATGTCTCACCCACAGTAAGAGTGAGATTACTGAGCTATGTCTCGCCCACAGTGAGAGTGAGATTACTGAGCTATGTCTCGCCCACAGTGAGAGTGAGATTACTGAGCTATGTCTCGCCCACAGTGAGAGTGAGATTACTGAGCTATGTCTCGCCCACAGTGAGAGTGAGAATACTCTAAGCTGAGATGAGTCTTACCCACAGTGAGAGTGAGAATACTCTAAGCTGAGATGAGTCTTACCCACAGTGAGAGTGAGAATACTCTAAGCTGAGATGAGTCTTACCCACAGTGAGAGTGAGAATACTCTAAGCTGAGATGAGTCTCACCCACAGTGAGAGTGAGAATACTCTAAGCTGAGATGAGTCTCACCCACAGTGAGAGTGAGAATACTCTAAGCTGAGATGTGTCTCACCCACAGTGAGAGTGAGAATACTCTAAGCTGAGATGTGTCTCACCCACAGTGAGAGTGAGAATACTCTAAGCTGAGATGAGTCTCACCCACAGTGAGAGTGAGAATACTCTAAGCTGAGATGTGTCTCACCCACAGTGAGAGTGAGAATACTCTAAGCTGAGATGAGTCTCACCCACAGTGAGAGTGAGAATACTCTAAGCTGAGATGAGTCTCACCCACAGTAAGAGTGAGAATACTCTAAGCTGAGATGAGTCTTACCCACAGTGAGAGTTAGAATACTCTAAGCTGAGATGAGTCTCACCCACAGTGAGAGTGAGAATACTGAGCTATGTCTCGCCCACAGTGAGAGTGAGATTACTATAAGCTGAGATGAGTCTCACCCACAGTGAGAGTGAGAATACTCTAAGCTGAGATGAGTCTCACCCACAGTGAGATTTGGATTACTCGAAACTGACATATGTCTCACCTTCTGTTTTGGTACCACGTCTTCACTTGGGTGTCGGTCAGGTTGAGTTTGGCCGCGAGTTCCATCCTGTCCTGGACACTGAGGTATTTCTGTCTCTCAAAACTTTTCTCCAGACAGCTCAGCTGGTGGTCGGTGAACGCCGTACGGGCCTTGCGGGGCTTTTTAGACTTAATCATGAGGGAGTCGGCATCGTCACCGTCGTCAACGTCATCCTCGTCCTCTGAAAAACAAAGTATACAACCATTTCATCATACAGAACAAACCTCTGTATCATTATAAAGAAATAAGCTTCCATTTCACTGTACAGAACATACCTTAGACTAACATCTTGTCTCTGAAATGAACATATTTTACAGAAAAAAATAGTTGTTAAATTATAGTTAATATAGTTATTATTATGAGATAAAATATAATAGAAAGGAGCCAAGAGACTTTCTTCATTTTCAGATACTGCTAATCTAGACTTGCCAAACATTATAGACATGCATGGGCTGTATTGGATATATTTGTTTCAGGGTCTGTATGACAGACTAAACATATAATTTTGCGTAGGGAGTGAAATGGGATGACATGGGGTTTAACGTCCCGTTCAAGATTATTGCACTTATATAGCGACGTGCATGCTCGTGTGTGTATGTGTGTGTGTGTGTGTGTGTGTGTGTGTGTGTGGCTATTTGTACAAGTCCGGACTACTGACGACTTTATAGTTCTAGTTCACTAAGAAAAAACATGCCGCAGTTTAAATTGAATTCCCTGCTCAGACACAATTTACAGATTCCGAGACGACCAGTTCTTGTTTTAGCCTCTTAATACCGAGCGCCAGCCAGGGTAACAATAAGTACTAACTATTAACGTCTTTTTGGCATGACGCCACCGGGGATCGAACCACCGACCTTCCGCTTTCCGGGCAGACGTCCTACAACTAGACCACGGAGGCTCTCTCACTGTGAGAACATGCATCTTTTTCATATAAAAATATGTTATTATTTCACTGTACAAAACATACCTCTAAATCAGTATAAACAAATAGTTATACCTCCGTTTGACGGTACAGAACACACCTCTATGTCAGTTTATACCTTCTTTACTTAAGACAGAACATACCTCTACAGCATTATAATAATTTAAAAAAAAAATTGCGGAGCTACTGTGTAGTATCTGCGAATTACCCCTTTATGGGATCAATTAGATTTATGACCCCGGGCCTCGGCACAAGCGTGGTGTTGGAAGACAAGTTATACATGCACATCCCATATGGTGGGTGACTTTTGTTCACAATTCATATTCTAATTTCATTTATAAAACCACACCATTACAGTACTTATTGAAACTTTACAATGATTTCCAATGCTAAGTATAATAATAATAATAATAATAATAGTAATAGTTTGAACTGGAACAAGTTATAAATTACACATAGATTATTCAGTCATTGTCTGTTTTAACAGCCGCTACGTTTGTATTGTTTGCATTGTGCAAAGAGGGAATGTTTCTGTCATCTTGCAGATTTAGACTCAGAATGTGCACATTCGAAAAAGTGATTATCATGAATTTTATGCAGTTAAAAGTTATACATAAACATGTACACTGTAAATGTATTTACTTTGAAGTCGTATACGTCCTTCGACCTTCGCGAGCGAGTTATTGGCTAATTACTCCATAATCTACGACCATACCTACATGTTAATAATGTAACATAGACGCATGACATTAATGAACGATCACAAACCACAAACGTGTAGCATAATTAAGTTATTGCGAGTTAATCGCTTAGAAATGAGGAAGTCGAGCGGTCGGTGAGCGTGCTTGAGCTAGGTTACATGTAAAAGAGGTGTCGTGAAACGAAATAGGATTTGAAACGTATCGAATACTCCCAACTATAGTGGTAAAAAGTGCATACGCCATACGCCAGGTGAGCTACAGCGCCTTGATGCTCTATTTTTGCAAAAGGTACTTATTTTGTGTACTATGTTAAGTAAAACGCACAATCTCCTGAACGAATTTGCAGCGTTCGTACACGAATACCTTGTTCACAGTGGTAACACGTAGGCAAAATAAAATGGAGAACTTTACGTGACCTACTGTGTAGCAGTCGTAATTGTTAGATTATCTGTGCACAGCAGGTATACGCCTTACACCCCCAAAAGTGTGAAGCAAAGTACGGAATGATATTGTAGTATGTTGGAGAATATAGAACGGTATTGTAGTGTATCAGCTGTCTATGGTTGATGATACAGACCGACTTGCTACGTTCATCTTGCGTTTGTCTTTATTTGTTACATTCTTTGCTCCAAGGGTAGAGGTTGCATGAGCGGCCCACCCGACTCGGGGGGAGACTCTCGCTAAGCAGAGATTTCAATGGTCGTGGGCTCGAATCCCGGATTCGTCCCGATTATAATTCTTTGGTTGTAACAATACCCGTACTCGTGGACTTGAACAAAGTGGCAAACCCTACGACCTGTGTCATTTAAGGCTTTCATCCGACATGATGTTGACACGTCATGGTACAACTGAATTACTGTCCACAAAGTCCTGAACCAACCAACTCATTGTTTTCCTTATATCATTGCATGTAACTATAACTGTAAAACGTCAACGCCAGAGAATAACCAGTCTCGATTATCGCCGAAACGGATTGGGCGCAAAAGGTAAATGACGGTGAAAAATATATTAATTGGTGACTTATAAGCCGTGAAGACAACAGGTGTTCGCCTAAAAAGTCCTATACAGCTGTGGCATGCGGCACATATGTAGTAATGGTGATCTTGGATCAAGCAGATCTAGAAATAGTAGTGTTGTCGGTACATGCATATATGACTTGTGTATACGGCACACACTAAAACATCTATCAGAAGTGTTGGGTGTGTGATAAGTCCAGCTGGGCCACTGGCTGTCATCATCAACTTACACGTCAGCTGTATCATCCAATGTGTTTACATCTGTAGACTAGTATTATATCTACATAAATACAACTGTATAGTGTCACAGATCGTAGTATTAAAGCGTTGCTCAAAGTGAAGCCGGATTTCTCTACATTCTTAACATAGTCTGTCAGAAGTGTGTGGTCTGTGTTCGGTCGGACTGGGCCGGAAGATACTTTATGTAATTTAGTCAGAAGACGTTTAATAGGCCACACAGTTGTAATAACAGTTGTAACTGTAATAATTGTTTATTCCTTGACCGATAATCAAAGCGTGTTGTGATCACTATATATGTCTAAATCCTGAACATGCTTGGAATTGTTTAAAACCCAAACATGTTCATAATCGAAACGTGTTTACACCCAAATTGTCTTACGAACATTAATATTCCTGATATAAATATTGTATTGAGGTAATCTCAGAATATACATAATTATATTAAATATTAAATATATTTAAATAAATAAATGAATAAATAAATAAATGAATGAATGAATGAATGAATGAATGAATGAATGAATGAATGAATGAATGAATGAATGAATAATAAATAAATAAATAAATAATAAATAATAAATAAATAAATAAATAAATAAATAAATAAATAAATAAATAAATACCTTGGAGAAGAGTGATAAAGTTAAGTTTGATTTTAACTGAGGAGCGACAGCACCTTAGCAATATTATATGAAAAAACTGTCTGTACTGACGCTTTGTCAGCCCTCAAAGAATACTAGTACATGGTTATATTTTTAAAGAATAACTTGATTGAAAACTTATAAAAATGTCCATAATACCCAAGTGCTGATGGGTATCTTTGAACATAAATACATTTGCTTTCTTCGGCACAAATTGTCTACATTTTACCCATGATATGTGCTAATGTCTTACCCAAGTCTTCATTGAAACAATTTATTTTTACACAAAATTACCCAGCCACAGATTATCTTTTACAAACTGTAGCAGGAATGGGTGGTGGTTAAACATACATCATCAAATTTAACAACAGTTCTTTCAATTTTCAATTACGTAAAAAACAAACAAACTCGGTGTACTTTCTTTTGCTTCTCAGATTTTTTTTCATTGTTTGACGTGGAGGTAACTGACACACGGTGAGTGGATGGGAGGACTCAGTATTTGGCGATAATTCTCACGTACAACGTTGTACACCGTAAATCAGCTGGTAGTCAGGAAGGTTAGTGGAAGTTAAATGTAGTTAATCAGGAAGGTTAGTGAAAGTTAATTATTGTAGTTAATCAGGAAGGTTAGTGAAAGTTAAATATTGTAGTTAATCAGGAAGGTTAGTGAAAGTTAAATATTGTAGTTAATCAGGAAGGTTAGTGATGAAAGTTAAATATTGTAGTTAATCAGGAAGGTTAATGATGAAAGTTAAGTATTGTAGTTGATCAGGAGGGTTAGTGAAAGTTAAATATTGTAGTTAATCAGGAAGGTTAGTGAAAGTTAAATATTGTACTTAATCAGGAGGGTTAGTGAAAGTTAAATATTGTAGTTAATCAGGAGGGTTAGTGAAAGTTAAATATTGTAGTTAATCGAAAAGTTGGGGGATGCCGCAGATTTGTACTGGCGAGAACGGTCGCCTGTCCGCTGACGGATATTCGCCGCCACGATCTGGGATCAGGTAGCATCGACTGGTGACAGCCAGTTTAGTTAATCACGTGCTGTGAAGGATAACGCTTGTTTTACTAATCACGTAATGAGAGAGGCATGTAATGATCTGTCCTTGACCTTCCTCTCAGCTCCTGCTGAACCTAACCACGTCGCTGCATCATGTTCTTATTCATACTTCGTTAAAAAAAGGCAAATTGTAAAAAGAAAATTTCCATTCAGGAATTTCAATCAACAAATGAGGTATATGAAAATGTCATCCTGAAAATCATGAACCGACGACAACCATGTGGAACCTTGCTTCAGAGTCAGTCGCGTTGGGTGTAGCAGCAATATAATTTATAATACAATAACATTTAATTCATGAATTGAAAAATATTATTAAACATTCATCCTTGGTGGATGAATATTAGTATGTCAGAAGTTCATCTCACCTCAATGCAAGGATACTAGTTGACTAGTCTCACTCATAATTATCGCCACAATTTACACAAACGACAGAGTTTTGAATGTTTGTTTAAAGGTATTGACATGGCAGAAGCGCGTCAGTACAGACAAAAGGTATAAACATATATAGCAATAGATAGCAGGTGCGCTGGGACTCTTGCATGGAAATACCAGTTTTAAAACACACTCTACTCAGTTGCATTCATTGATAATTATTTTATCTACCTGCCAAATTTCATATAGGCATCAAAGTATAATAGTTGAATATTATAAAAACAAATCTTACACCTAATTTCCAAGTTGAATGATTCACTTTCGTGTCCCAGAAGCGGAACTTGGAGTAGTTACGTTTACTATAAAACATTTGCTTTTGCTGAATAAAAATAAATATGTATTTTTTCGGAACATATATGCTTTCATTTTAATCACTGAAATAGTATTAATAATTATATTTTCCTTTTCAGAGGAAACGATACACAAAGATTACAAGCGTGTTATTGTATTTTGCCTGGTAAATGTTAACGTTTGTCAACAAGGAGTTTACAAGAAACGTCCATTAGTTTTTCCATGTGATTTTAATTTTAACAAATTTCAAACAACAAAGCATGTGGGTCAACCTTTTACTAATTGTTTGGTCCCGACGTAACATTGTTAAATAGTTTTAAATGTGCTGACGGAAGTTTCACTTGGTTGTAATGTGATTTCCTTCGATGATATGCTCCATATAACTCTCGGGAGTCCGATATACGGGTATGCCGTGCAGCATGGGTATGTCGTATAATGAAGGCCTTGGCCAAGAGCTGCATGTTTTATAGCGATGGATAAAATATATTCACACCCAGAAGGGTGGATATACCCGATGTGTATGATGCGCAGAAACAGGCAGTGTTACAGCAGTGCTGGTGTGCATGGCATTAAAAACGTGATATATTTCTGAATGTCCCTGTTTATCAATATAAAAAGAATCAGACACATACTCTGAGTTTAAAATGTGATGACACTCACCGCTGTCGCTAATCGATGTGTCAGCCTTCTTGTAGAGGGGCGACCGTGAGCGGGATCTGTCTGAGAGATGCCCAACATTTCTGACACCTTCTGACAGGTGCCCGAGTCTAGATGTGTCAGACAGGTGCCCGAGTCTAGATGAGTTAGATAGGTGCCCAAGTAAGGTACTGTCAGTTATATGTCCAAACGTCCTGGCACTAACAGGAGTCGTGTCTCTGCCTCGACCATCACCTGACAATCTGTCAAAGTCACTGCCCCTCTGGCCCAGAATGTCTGTTATAAGGAAGGACGGTCGTGGCAAAACTTTTACAGTCGGTTTCACGGAACTGTGGCATTGCGTTGACTTTGGAGAGGAACGGTCGTTGCCGCTGTTGTTGTCGGTGTTGCTGTGGTGGTCAGTGTTGCTGCGGTGGTCAATGTTGCTGTGATGATCGATGTTGCTGTGGTGGTCGATGTTGCTGTTGCTGTCACTGTCACAAACTCTGCTCTCTGTCACATCAATGTCAGAACCTACATCCGACAATTCGGCTTCCGACTCCAAGGACACCCGTCTCTCGCCCTCTTCCCGCAATGGAGATATCGCACCTTTCTCCATCATCAACAATAGAGATGAACGTTCAGAGCTACTGTTGCATGTCTCGGTAATAAATAAACTTCAGATGTCTGTAATGGTGTCGGGGAAACTGACAACAAGACGTGAGATATCTGGTAATACCTGCAGCTCTCCTGTACCGGAGGGGATGTGTGGGTGAGTAAAGAGGGTGGTTTCTCCGCGGGGGTCGGAGGATGACGGTCCGGCGATACTGCGTGTATTGAGGGTTCACTCGATTCTATTCCATGTCAATTTAATAGCGTTTGAATACACTGGCAATTGATCGCATCTCGTCAAGTGTGGCAGCAGTTAGTAAGGTGTTGCTACAGTTTACTTGTAGACCAAACCAATTAGATCCCTCCACACAGACCTCTTTGACCAATGGTATGAGTATGTTCAATATGTGGGCGGAGCTAGCTGTTCGGAGTTGCCATCCTACTGCGCGGTGATTGGTTGCTGGCTCCCCGGGTCGACTGAGCGGGCGTTCTCTACCTGTGCAGTAATTACACCGCGGCCGCTCCACGCTCGCTATTGATTGTCGGCTATGGCGCCTGAAGTAGCTTTCATTTCTTGGAGTGAGCGATCTGTTGACTCAGAAATAAATCGATTTATTTTGGTTCACTCTTATTGAAATATTTTTATTGTCAAGTTCTAAAGCATTTTTAAATTGAATGCATTTAATTTAGTTTCGGAAATAATAACTTTTTTTTCAAATCAGGAAAATAATAGATGTGTTATTTGAGGATATTTTGAAATTAAAGATGTAACATTGCTGATAATTAGGTGTTAAAATCTGTAGACGTGTATTCCCTCCCCTGTGAACCTGTGCCGCCTCCTGCTGCCATCGACTGCCTTCTTCTCCTTCTTCTTCCCTTTTTCTTCTTCTTCTTCTTTTCGTGTGTGGTTAAGAACTCGCCATCAGCCTCAGAAACTTCAGATCAGAGAGTTCAAAGTTCGGTTATGACGGTTGTGTTGGGGGACATCTGTGTGCGACACAGCGGGTGGTTCTGAATGTTGAGTGCTCGGCGGTGTGCGTGTGCGTGTGCGTGTGCGTGTGCGTTCTGCACAAATGACATGGTTCAGATTAGAATCCAGTTTACACGGTTTTTTACAAACAAGCAAAACATGAGCAATAGTCGTTTTACAAGAACTGCCACACGGCTCAGTTCCTTGTTTGGTACTTCGTCACTCGGGACCATGGGGCAATCACGTGACTCTAGTGGGGTAGTCACGTGACACCAACACGAGCATCTTTCCCGACACAGCAGGCGACGAAACTTTACATCCGGGTAACTTGCGTAATTCCGCCGGGTAATGTTCGATATTTAACTCCGCCGTCACACGTATTGGTATTTCTCAGTTATGTAATGTGTTTCAAACTTAATAGAACAAAATTCACTATAAATTTGTTTTTTAAAGGTATCGTATCTGGAAGGTTTCCGAAAAACCTGACTTTTCATGCTGTGGGGCGTAGACGCAGACACAGACATAGACATAGACACAGACACAGACACAGACACAGACACACACATTGACACACACACAGACAGACACACACACACGCATTTCTGGAGAAATCTTGACATTACAAATTGTTACTTGTGTCAAACTGATTTTCTGATTAATTGCTATAAATATCATTATTTACATTTGCCGAAAAACTCGGTTTTAAATGATATTTCAACATAGGGCTACCATGTTGCGCTAGCCTGTTTCTAAACGTTTGTTGTTAACGCCGCATCAGTCAATATTAGAGTTTAGACCATGAATTTAGTGACGGTCGTCACGATTAGCTGTCAATGCAGTTGGGATATTACTGAACGAAGTCACCGAATCTGACCACCCGATTCTTTTAGTGGCCTCTGACGAGGCACTTTATGAATGGCCAAATATGTACAAATTAAGCAAGATGTTCTCCTATCAGAAGGCGAAAAGTTGAAAGAACCTTTCTAAATTTATTAATATGCTGTTTAAACATATTGCCGCTGAAACATAATTTTACGTTCTGCCATCTTGCTTGTATGATTGATTGAATGTTTACATGTATGCTCAGGAACAACCGTTGGTGGGTTTTCGAATACAATAAATTAAAAAAATGACAAGCACATATTGCTAAGAGCTATTTCAGAAGTTACTCGCGTTCTTTTCAATCAATAAATTCATGAAGTCATCAAGTGTAAATAAAACCATGGCCTTTAGTAAGACACACAGGGAGTGATTACTGTCAGGCCCTAGGTCCAAGACGTTTTCCCAGGGCCGGGGAATATGGGGACGTCAATGTCCCGCCATAACAATGACGTTTTCCTCATATGTGCCACAGTCAAATGTTTGGTGGTACTTTAGTTATGTTCCCATCGTTTGTGATTAGAAATGTGTCGTGATATGCAGCGCGGACATGTGTTATGATGATCGGGCTCGCTGATAGCGGCGTGTGCAGAATAGCTGAGCGAGCGGGGCTGGCGGAATGCCTCTTCATAACGGTTACTGCCTTGACACCCGAGATTTACACGGGGATAATCAGGAGGTCTCATTGTTTCAGTGGCTAATGTAAGTGTGAACGATCTGTGTACACGGAATGGGGTTGTATGCAAGCCGTGCATGGCCTCGCTGTAGTGGGCGCACGCACATATCAACATTATAACATTTCACAGAATGCCATTGAGCTACAATAAACCTTTCCCCTTCAAAGTTGGGTTAAACACACGTGCTCTATTGTACCTCGTTGTGGCGGTTTCTACTTATATTTCCATTGTGAGCTTGTTGACAGAAAAAAAAACATCTGAATGGCACGCATTCTTACATTTCTTCTGTTTGGACGAGAATATTTGCAATCAAGTTGTATTTCTTTCCTAATGGCAGTTGACCGCGACTGGAGGCCGCATGGTTCCCACACGAACCTATATTACCTTTAAATAAATTATTCAACAATTTGTGATCTTTAAATGTATGTTCGTTCGCTTTGTAATGATGTCCGCAATTCCGAGATGCGTGAATCTTACGGTTTGAGAACCTATACAGACTCACGGCATGTTGTTTATAGTTCAATGTACACTAGTACGTAGTTTAACACTGTTGTTTATAGTTCAATGTACACTAGTACGTAGTTTAACACTGTTGTTTATAGTTCACTGTACACTAGTACGTAGTTTACCACTGATCATGATGGAATTGTTTCATTATCAAAGCTAACATGCTCTCACACACATATATGTAACAGTCAATGTGAAACATTTGATTTACTTACGCAATTTACAACATGCCTAAATATTTCAGCGGTTACAAATTACAAATTCACTGAGATATATGTTCATTTGTTATAGAATGTTGATTGACTTTAAATTATTAAGAAGTTCAAAAGAGCCTCAAACATCATAATAGCTTAACTTGTAGCCTTGCTTGGACTTGTAGCCAAAAACTTTTTAAAAAATTTACTTTCGTTTTCATTTAATCCTATCATATTCAGTTACTAGGTGATGAAGTTGAACATCAAAATGTTAGGAATTCGTTGTCAAAATAAAATAAATGAACCGACTGTTCTGTTAATTCGAAAATTACGGAAAGGTTAAGATGTTTTGTGAATTGCTGTCATTTTACACATTAACTTTAACATATACCGATATCCCGCATTTCATGAATCCATCAATTTCTAATTTGTCAAAATTGTTTATTGTTAATCAGGACGACTCTCGTTATAGCTGACAATATCGTGAGCGAGCTTGTGAGTCGGGTTGTGTGGAGCTGTATGGGGCTGTGTGGGGTGGCATATGGTCCGGATTGACGTGGACATTACCGCCAGGTGAGACAATGTCCCCTGACAATAGCGGAACACGGAGGTGACCGGCTCACACAAACTGCCGCTGATTGGGATGCATATTTCAAAGCTTGGATTTACCGCGTCGCGTCAGGAAATGGACAAATTGAAGTCAATATGTACCAATGACAGCGCTGAATGCTGGCTTATGAATTATTATTGGGTAATTTGGCGGCCGTCTTGTCCATATGTTGGCTGAGATGACAGTGTTAAATGGTCGGCGTTTATTTCATCCAGCAATAACTCCCGTTATGTCTGAAATATCCCCATATGTCGGCCACAATTCCTCGCCAGCGTCGGCTCCAGAAGAAGGGATTGTGTCACGTGTTACACATTTGTAAATCATTAGTCATTCCATGGCGTACGAGACACTTTTAAAACATGTACACCGTCGTTACAACAATACAGTTGATTAGGCTGGCAATAACACATGGTGTTGGGGTATGACTGAGGTACCACCAGGGTATGACTGGGGTATGACTGAGGTACCACCAGGGTATGACTGGGGTATGACTGAGGTACCACCAGGGTATGACTGGGAGATGACTGAGGTACCACCAGGGTATGACTGGGATATGACTGAGGTACCACCAGGGTATGACTGGGGTATGACCGAGGTATCACCAGGGTATGACTGGGAGATGACTGAGGTACCACCAGGGTATGACTGGGGTATGACTGAGGTACCACCAGGGTATGACTGGGAGATGACTGAGGTACCACCAGGGTATGACTGGGGTATGACTGAGGTACCACCACGGTATGACTGGGAGATGACTGAGGTACCACCAGGGTATGACTGGGGTATGACTGAGGTACCACCAGGGTATGACTGGGGTATGACTGAGGTACCACTAGAGGATCATTGGGGTATGATTGAGGTACAATTTACTGGCGTCCTCCCTAAATACCCGCCACATGGCAAACAAGAAAATACCACTGATTAGTCCGTCAAGGACCCCACTTAGTCAACCCACGATAATCTTTTGAGGCAACCTTCAGCGGTGTGTTGATACAAGTGTTTATCAATTATCAATATGTTATACATATATTTTTTTAATTCTACACCTAAATTATCAATTCAATATTTCTCCATTTAAGCCACACTATTCCCTCAAACAGCTTGTCATATGTCTTATATACATACTTGTTATACCTATATTATACGTACATTATACTTACATATACATACTTTATACGTACATTTTAATAATACCTACAGTATACATAATTTATACCTACAGTATACGTACGGTGTAACTATCTTATACATACTTTATACCTCCATTTTACACCTACATTACACCTATATTACACCTATACTATTCTATTATTACCTATTATTCCCTCTTATTTACTTCATTGTTAAACCTACAGTGTACGTATGTCGGACCTTCATTGTTCCCAGATACAGATAGAGCGTATCGACCCTCACACGAGGCAGCATATGTCCTCATGTCAGGACTCGCTTCCGGACTTGTGGAGCCTGCGTGACGTTTATAATTACCAACACCGCCTTTAACGGTAGAACGATTAAATAATATATTGCAAAAGTTGTAAAGACTTTCTGGTTATTTCATTATATTCTAGTTATCCGGACAACGTCTTTGCGAGCGCATAAGAGCATTGTCCAATATCTGCTTCATGGCTAAGAATCGCCACCAAGTACCGTTATGAAGTACCACCATAACATGCGCTTTGTAATCACATTTCCCCCTTTCTTCCAGAAGAGCGATATCCACACACGAAGAGTGGCACAGGAAGTATCGAAAACACGGAATGGTGAGTCCCATGGAAAACGGAATTTCTCCTGGGACGGCGGGCCGAATCAGTGTTGTTGATTGACATTAGGGCGAGATATGGAAATGAAGTGCCGCTAATTACCGGCGTCAGCACGCGACTCAAGCAGAGGCGGCAGTTAAAACAAAATTAATTGTCGACGTTATTCCACCTGAGACCTACAGGTGAAAAGCCTGCTAGGTGCCATTCCATATGTGATTAACTTAATTAAATTTCCAATCGATAATGAATGAAAATTTGATGTTGAGGGTATGTTGTTTGTTGCAAGCTATAACAAGTGTATCGCCCATTGCTGGCCGCAGCCGTACCTGGCAGGTAGCGGGTATTGCCCCCAACACACCTATGTGCACCACCCACGGGCCGTGGTAGGTCCTAGGCTCTACTCAAAGATACGTCCATGGATGTGTAGAATTTTACCCTCCTAATAGGCAAGATTAGATATGTGAACAATACAGACTCCATTCACTTATAGGGACAATTAACTTGTTCTTATTATTTACATAATCTAGGAATTATGATTTAAACTAATAATTACTGCCTTAGAGACTTCTGAAAGTCTAGGCCCTTCGTGGTAAGTAGAAGACGACGACAGTGCATCAGTTTTCATTGTGATTCAGTTGAGACGGCAACATGAAAGTAAACAGAAGCCGCAAGCTCCAGTGCAGTTTTCACGCCAGAGTTGAAGTGATAATCATCTAATTACCTGGTAGGGGCGGGGAAATGCGACTGCAGGTTGTTTGGTGATTTGAGAAATGTTAATTTATAAAATGGGGACTTTGAGTGGGAACCGATCTGTCAGCTGTAGGAATGCACTCGCATGTACCGGCGCACAACGCGACTCTTTCACAGTCTTCATTGACTAATTACAGTTAGTGGCAATTCCTCTGAAGGTTAAATAAATGGAAATTTTTGTTGCCTATTAGTGTTAATAGCAGATGTGTCTTCTCCCATGGGACAGATTGCGTCAGTGCGACCCCTCCCCCAACACTGACGTCATTGCTATCTTCCTCCCCCTCTCCCCCTCCCAAACTCTCCTCCTTCGCCATCCTGTCCCCCTCCCAAACATTCCTGCTTTGCCACTCCCTACCCTATCCCCGACGTTTATCTCTTTGTAACTGTTGACTGCTGTGTGTGAGCTTACTTTAAATGCTGTGTGTGAGCTTACTTTATATGCTGTGTGTTGTGTGTGAGCTTACTTTATGTGTTGTGTGTGAGCTTACTTTATGTGTTGTGAGTGAGCTTACTTTATGTGCTGTGTGTGAGCTTACTTTATATGCTGTGTGTTGTGTGTGAGCTTACTTTATGTGTTGTGTGTGAGCTTACTTTATGTGTTGTGTGTGAGCTTACTTTATATGCTGTGTGTCGTGTGCGAGCTTACTTTATGTGTTGTGTGTGAGCTTACTTTATATGCTGTGTGTCGTGTGTGAGCTTACTTTATGTGTTGTGTGTGAGCTTACTTTATATGCCGTGTGTCGTGTGCGAGCTTACTTTATGTGTTGTGTGTGAGCTTACTTTATGTGTTGTGTGTGAGCTTACTTTATGTGTTGTGTGTGAGCTTACTTTATGCGTTGTGTGTGAGCTTACTTTATGTGCTGTGTGTGAGCTTACTTTATGTGTTGTGTGTGAGCTTACTTTATGTGCTGTGTGTGAGCTTACTTTATATGCTGTGTGTTGTGTGAGCTTACTTTATGTGTTGTGTGTGAGCTTACTTTATGTGTTGTGTGTGAGCTTACTTTATGTGTTGTGTTTGAGCCTACAGTATGTGTTGTGTGTGAGCCTACAGAATGTGTTGTTTGTGAGCCTACTTTATGTGTTGTGTGTGAGCTTACTTTATGTGTTGTGTGTGAGCTTACTTTATACGTTGTGTGTGAGCTTACTTTATATGCTGTGTGTGAGCTTACTTTATGTGTTGTGTGTGAGCTTACTTTATGTGTTCGTGTGTGAGCTTACTTTATGTGTTGTGTGTGAGCTTACTTTATGTGTTGTGTGTGAGCTTACTTTATGTGTTGTGTGTTGTGTGTGAGCTTACTCTATATGCTGTGTGTTGTGTGTGAGCTTACTTTATGTGTTGTGTGTGAACTTACTGTATGTGTTGTGTGTGAGCTTACTTTATATGCTGTGTGTTCGTGTGCGAGCCTACTTTATGTGTTGTGTGTGAGCTTAATTTATGTGTTGTGTGTGAGCTTACTTTATATGTTGTGTGTTCGTGTGCGAGCCTACTTTATGTGTTGTGAGTGAGCTTACTTTATATGCTGTGTGTTGTCTGTGAGCTTTCTTTATGTGTTGTGAGTGAGCTTACTTTATGTGTTGTGTGTGAGCTTGCGTTATGTGCTGTGTGTTGTGTGAGCCTACTTTATATTCTGTGTGTTGTGTTTGAGCCTACAGTATGTGTTGTGTGTGAGCCTACAGTATGTGTTGTGTGTGAGCTTACTTTATGTGTTGTGTGTGAGCTTACTTTATGTGTTGTGTGTGAGCTTACTTTATGTGTTGTGTTTGAGCCTACAGTATGTGTTGTGTGTGAGCCTACAGAATGTGTTGTTTGTGAGCCTACTTTATGTGTTGTGTGTGAGCTTACTTTATGTGTTGTGTGTGAGCTTACTTTATACGTTGTGTGTGAGCTTTCTTTATATGCTGTGTGTGAGCTTACTTTATGTGTTGTGTGTGAGCTTACTTTATGTGTTCGTGTGTGAGCTTACTTTATGTGTTGTGTGTGAGCTTACTTTATGTGTTGTGTGTTGTGTGTGAGCTTACTCTATATGCTGTGTGTTGTGTGTGAGCTTACTTTATGTGTTGTGTGTGAACTTACTGTATGTGTTGTGTGTGAGCTTACTTTATATGCTGTGTGTTCGTGTGCGAGCCTACTTTATGTGTTGTGTGTGAGCTTAATTTATGTGTTGTGTGTGAGCTTACTTTATATGTTGTGTGTTCGTGTGCGAGCCTACTTTATGTGTTGTGAGTGAGCTTACTTTATATGCTGTGTGTTGTCTGTGAGCTTTCTTTATGTGTTGTGAGTGAGCTTACTTTATGTGTTGTGTGTGAGCTTGCGTTATGTGCTGTGTGTTGTGTGAGCCTACTTTATATTCTGTGTGTTGTGTTTGAGCCTACAGTATGTGTTGTGTGTGAGCCTACAGTATGTGTTGTGTGTGAGCCTACTTTATGTGCTGTGTGTTGTGTGTGATCTTACTTTGTGTGTTGTGTGATGTAGGTGAGCTTACTTTATGTGTTGTGTGTTGTGTATAAACCTACTTCATGCATTGCGTTTTGTTTGATCTTACTTTATGTGTTGTGTGTAAACCTACTTCATGCGTTGTGTGGTTTGTGTGAGTCAGATGTGTAGGGTGGGCGTGGTCAGATATTGTGTCGGGTGGGCGTGGTCAGGTGTTGTGTCGGGTGGGCGTGTCACCAGCAGCTGCAAGGGGTTTGATACACTTTAATTCGTGTTACAGACTCTTGCCCCGTGGTATGTGAAGCTGTATCACCATATCACGTCTCTCGTCGTCAGCGTAAACCCCTGTTGTGATATACATGCTGACATTTCCTATCAAACAGAAACACCATTCCCAGCGTGAGTGTGCAGGCTCGCGCTGCCCGCCGGTGTACAGCGCACAGTCTCCCTGATACCCAGGGGCAGCCCTCTCGTGTTTCACACTGGGCTCACTGTTACAGATATTGCTGCTACAACTATTCCAAATATGGACATAATTCAGGTCGTGGAAACAGTTATGTTCTGCAGACATGGACGTTCATTAAAACTCTCACAATTCTGGCAAATAAATATCCCTACTCTGTACTTTCTATTCTCGACTCAGGCAGTACGGACAACTTCATTACATCCACCCTGTCCCACTGCTACCATCATCCTTCGCGGTACCCCGACAACTGCCCACCCTACCCCATCCCCGCATCAAGCTACCCCGACAACTGCTCACCCTACCCCATCCCCGCATCTCACTTCCTAGACAACTGCCCATCCTACCCCATCCCCGCATCTCACTTCCTAGACAACTGCCCATCCTACCCCATCCCCGCATCTCGCTACCCCGACAACTGCCCACCCTACCCCATCCCCGCATCTCGCTTCCTAGACAACTGCCCATCCTACCCAATTCCCACATTGCACTACCCCGACAACTGTCCATCCTACCCCATTCCCACATCTCGTTACCCCAACAACTGCCCATCCTACACCATTCCCACATCTCGCTACCCCAACAACTGCCCATCCTACCCAATTCCCACATTGCACTACCCCGACAACCTGTCCATCCTACTCCATCCTCACATCACACTTCTCAGACAACTGCCCTTCCCCACATTGCACTAAATCGACAACTGCCCATCCTACCCCATTCCCACATCGAGCTACCCCGACAACTGCCCTTCCCCACATTGCACGACCCCGACAACTGCCCATCCTACCCCATTCCCACATCGAGCTACCCCGACAACTGCCCTTCCCCACATTGCACTACCCCGACAACTGCCCATCCTACCCCATTCCCACATCGAGCTACCCCGACAACTGCCCTTCCCCACATTGCACTACCTCGACAACTGCCCATCCTACCCCATTCCCACATCGAGCTACCCCGACAACTGCCCTTCCCCACATTGCACGACCCCGACAACTGCCATTCCCATCACAACATCGAGCTACCAAGACAACTTTGCATCCTATTCCCACATCGAGCTACCCTGACAACTGCCATTCCCATCACCACGTCGAGTTACCCCGACAACTGCCATTCCTATCACCGCATCGAGCTACCCAGACAATTTTGCATCCTATCCCCATATTGAGCTACCCTGAAAACTGCCAATCATATCCCCACATCAAGCTACCCCGACAACTTCGCATCTTATCCCCACGACACGCTACCCAGACAACTACCCATCCTATCCCAATGACATGCTATCCAGACAACTGCCAATCCTATCCCCACGACACGCTATCCCGACAACTGCCCATCCTATCCTCACATCACTCTACCCCAACAACTGCCCATCCTATCCCCACGACACGCTACCCCGACAACTGCCCATCCTACCCTATTCCCACATTATGCTACCCCAACAACTGCCCATCCTATCCCATTCTGAAATCGCGCTACCCCGACAACTGTCCATCATATCCCCACATCGCGCGACCGCCTCCGTGGTCTAGTGGTAGAGCGTCCGCCCGGAGAGCGGAAGGTCCGGGGTTCGATCCCCGGCCGCGTCATACCAAAAGACGTTAAAAGATGGTACTTGTTGTTACCCTGTCTGGCGTTCGGCATTAAAG